TCAGCTCACAGTGCTGAACTGGGTAAGAAATCAAACAATGCTAATGGAAAACCTGATGATCTCATAAAAAGTTAAAAGGATTGGTTACTGAGTGAACTGGTATATATGGTTATAATTTTTATGGTTTTTGTCTGGAGTATTACTGGTTTTGATCTATGTTTTCCAGATATAGGGAAGCCCTTCCCTTCAAGTTAGTTATGACTTCCAGCAATTTGTTAAACTATACCTTTGGGTAGAATTGAAACATTTTTCTTTTCTCTCTACCTGGTCCCTCCAGAAATTGAAGACTCTTGGGTTCCAAGCAGGTGAATGGGAAAGACTGTCTCCTGGCATGTGCAGGAATCTCAATATTTGGGGGACTTCTACAAGAGGGGACTCCACCGAGGCAGAGTTGATGGCAGGCCTTGGTATGGCTTTCCTGGCCTTGAGAGGCCTTTTGGGAACTCAGTCTGAGACTTCTGAGGAATTCCACAACAGCCAGTTTGGAGGAGCCTAGGTGGCCACTGTAGGTGTGATTTGGGACATATTCCTGTATTACTGAAAACTTGTTTTCTGAACTATATTACAGACCTGCACAAAAACGACAGGCAGCTGTGGTTGATATTATCTCAGAATACGGATACGGCTTGTATTTTGCTTAATGGTCATGATCTTCCCTGTGTTGTGCCTGTCAGGTGTCTTACATTTTGTTCCTAGCCTGAGTGGAGGAAATCTATTTGAGGACTGAGCAGCAACAATAACCTCACTGAGAAAAGAGTCTAATTGCTGGGTTAATGGCAACAGCAAGATGCCGTTTTTGTCTTCCTCTGGATTTCCATGAAAAATCGACCTGGCTAATGTGACCATGTGGAGACGACTGACAGTGGCGGGGTGGGGGAGGGGCGGGGGAAGACCCTTACCATCGTCCTGTCCCACATGCCAGTACGTCAGAAGGACCCTGTCGGTAAACATTACCATGTAACACATCATACACTTTGACTGCCCATGAGCCCCCCACCCAGGCTATGCTGTGTGGAGTGGAATAGGCTGGCTTCTGGACACACATGTCCAACTAGTGTGATTAACTGTTTTTTTGTTTGGAAAGACCTAATGCGTCCACCCCTAACAAAACATGGGGTAACTGCTGACTCCACCAGAATGTATTTTTTAGAGCCGAGGCCTTCTCCTCCCCATGGGGGTTGCTCGGGATTTGTGAAAAACAGGGTTGGCCTTACCTTCTTTATAACCAGACAGGGCACTGCTGCTATTGACTCCCTCTCCATTACCCCAGTAAGTGCTTGGCTCCAAAATTTGCCCACATTCTGGCAAATGACTGTTCTTAGCCTACTAGGTATCTTACTCTTGATGCTCTTTGGCTGCTGTCATCTGTATTTGTGGCATCTGGCTGCAGTGCCCCCCTACACACCTGACCCCAGGGATATCACAGAAGAAGGGCAGACCAAGATTGTGAGGGTCGTGCAGCGTACGTAGGGGTGGAGTGTATGATCAGGCCACCAAGATGGCTGCTCTCTGCACATCCCCTGCTCAACCAGTGCCTGCTTCACCTACACCCTACTCACATGACTGACCTTCCTACATACTTGCCCCCAACCCAGCTAGTGATTGTTCTAATCTTCAGATCAGAATATCTCCACCATGATAACTTATTAATGGGGTGGTGAAGAGCATGCCCTTCTGCTAGTTTCCCTGGTAACTGATAAGCCATCCTGACCTCAATTCCCCCTATAACTGGTAACCTCGCCCTCGCCCCAGGAACAAAGACTGCTGCCATGTCCTACCCACTGTCTGCCACACATGGTGGGGTGTCGTCCCAGGATCTTGCTTCAGACATAAAAGATCCACCACCCTTTAAACCACTGAGGTCTCTATCACTGACTCCAGGATCTTTCTTTGGTCTCAAGGATGGGCAAGTACAAGGCTTGTAGGCCTGCAGGGTGCAGCCCAACACTCCTTCTATTGTAAATGATACTCTCCCTGGGTAGAGTATCCTAGGTTGCAGAAATTTCCCTTTGAGGACTTGGAATGCATCTTGCCACTCCCTCTGGCCTGCAACGTTTCTGTAGAGAAACCAGCTGATAGCCTTATGGAGGTTGCCTCTGTTTTTCTCTCGCTGCCTTCAGGATGCCTGCTTTAACTTTTCCCATTTTAATTATTAGATGTCTTGGTGTAGGTCAGTTTGGGTTCATCTTGTTTGGGACCTTCTGTGCTTCCTGTACCTGGATATCTGTTTCCTTCTTTAGGTTTGGGAAGTTTTCCACCAAAATCTCTTCAAGTTCATTTTTGATCCCCTTTTTCTCCTTCTGGGATCCCTATTATGTGTAGATCGGCTCACTTTACATTATCCCATAGGTTTCATATATTGCTTTCATTTTTTTTCATTAGTCTGTCTGCTGTTCTGACTGGGTGATTTCAGTTATTTTATCTTCCAGATCACTTATTCATTCTTCTGCATCATTTAGTTTGCCCATGGCCAGGACCGTCTGTGTAGGTCTGTTTTCTGCCTACCACAATGCAGCTACTGCACTGCCCTCCGAGCCTCTGAAGCTCCCTTTCTGTCCCAGCTGATCTCCCAGCCACTGAAGGGGCTTCCCAGAGTGAGGGAACTTTTCCTCTTTCACAGCTCCCTCCCAGGGGAGGTGCTGTCCTAATTACTTTTTTTTTTTTTTTTTACTTTGGGACAGGTGCTGTCCTAATTACTTCTTTTTTTTTCTTTTGTCCTACCCGGTGATCTTTCTTACAGCTTTGGTTGTATGAGATCTTATGCCAGAGTTCAGCAGGTATTCTGTGAGAACTGTTCCACATGTAGATGTATTTTTGACGTATTTGTGGGAGGAGGTGAGTTCCACGTCCTTCTATCCCGCCATCTTGACCTCCACCTGTCCTTACTGTATAAGGTTCTTGAGGATCAAACCTAGCGCGGTGCTCCCGTGGCCAAGGGCCAGCTCAGTTTCCAGCACAAGACGTGGTAGGAAGCAGGAGAGCCACCTGCTGGTGAAACTTCATCCATCAAAATCAGCAACCAGGTTATCTTCTTATGTTCCAAGGACACCCCCAGAGTTTGCCCCACTTTCCTTTCATCCCTATATCACTTGCCTCCAAAGATGCTCTCCTAACTCAATCGAAAACAGCTCTCTCAGTTCCCTCTCTTAAGCAGCACTGTCCAATAGAACTTTCTGACATGATGGAAGTATTATTCAACTGCACTGTCCACTATAGTTACCACAACCCATGTGTGGCATCGAGTACTTGAAATGTGATGAGAGCAACTAAAAACCTGAGTTTTTATTTAGTTTTAATTGTATTTAAATAGCTAAATGTGGCTAGTGGCTACTGTACTTGGATAGCACAGCAGTAAAGCAGTGGTTCTCAACCTTGTCTGTCCCCTAAATTCACCCCAGCAGGGACCTTTTAAGAATCCAGATGAGCAGACCACACCCCAAATCAATTAAATTAGAATCTCGGTATTTTTTAAGTTCTTTCTGGGTATTTCAAACATGTGTCCAAAGTTGAGAACCGTTGCTCTAAAACCAGTGTTTGGCAAACTATACTGCGTAAGAACTTTCTGGGGGTCTTGTTAAAATGCAGATTCTGATTCAGAGGCCTGCGGTGAGAACTGAGATTCCACAGGTCAAACAAGCACAGGCTGCTGCCCCTGGGCCACACTGAGTACCAAGGCTCTACCCCAGCCCTTCGAATCCTTTCACTCACGCAAACATTAGGTACTTTCTGAGCCCAGTGGCATGACAGTTCTGGCTTTTAGAGTTTCCATTCTGATCGGAGAAATAATAAGCTTGTAATCTCAAACAGTGGTAAATGCTTTGAAGTAAATAAAACAGTGTAGTGGGATAAGGATGTGTGCGGCCAACTGCAGATTTAAGGAGGTGAATGTTTAGTTTTTGGCTTTCAGGAGTGGTGGTCACGGTGAGGAGTTTGGACTGTGTTCTAACTGAACTAAAAGCCGCAGCAGGGCCTTAAGCAAGAGCATGAGGAATGCTGATTTACTCTGAAGAGATCTGCTCACTGCTGATCTGACTTTCTGATAGTTTTTCACAGCACCATTTAACTGCTAAGACTTGGTCTCCTCTTTCCCCTTTGCTGATTTTTTTCCCCCTCACACTGTAAAAAGAAATACAAAGATAGGTCTCTAGGTATAAGAAAAACCAAGGAATCATTTTTACTTCTGAGGAAAGCCAAACTCAGAACTACACATTTCAGAGAAGCTAGGGTGGAGACTCTGCCATTGGAAGAAGCAGGCAAGGAACTCAGGGTTGCCCCCCTTCTCCGGAAGCTCCTGGTGGATGACCTCCGTGGATGGTGTCAGTAAACTGTAGCCCACCTTCCTTCTGCCAGATTCTTGCCTTAGGCAGCAAGGGGATTGAAGGTGTAAGAAATAAAGAGCAGCAGGAGGAAAGAAGGGACCCAGTGGCCACCTTTTGTCTGAAAAAAACCTACCGAAGTGAGAGACTGCCTCTGTTTGGAGTCACAGAAAAGCCAAGCCAGAGATCAGGACTCTGAGCTATTGCAAAGGAGTAAGCCAACATGGGTCTTGGTTTTCTTCTTTCTCTCATTAATACAATTCCAAAACCATTTCTATCAGTAGCAGTTAAATGACACTGTAGCACAGGAAGCTGTCAACCAAATAAATCTTAAAATGCATATAAAAGGACATGAGTTGAATAAATTTACACGTGGCCTCATGAGGATACAGGGTTAGTTGGCAGTTATTACCTTTAAGAAAATCCTAGGAAAGATATGCACCCAAATGTTAACAGTAGTTACCTCTAGGAGATAATATTAGATGGCAGAAGGAAAAAGAAAGGTACCTTCTGCTTAACTTTCAAAAGTTAATCAAAATATTAGTAGAGGTACTTCCTGGATGGTCCAGTGGGTAAGACTCCATGCTCCCAATGCAGGGGGCGCGGGTTCGATCCCTCGTCAGGGATCTAGATCCCGCATGCCACAACTAAGAGCCTACATGCCACAACTAAGACTTTGCACGCCACAACTAAAGATCCTGCACACCACAACAAAGATCCTGTGTGCCGCAACTAAAGACCTGGTGGAGCCAAATAAATAAATATTAAAAAAAAAATACTAGTAGAGAAAAAGGAGACTCCAGGAGCATTTAACTAGATGATACAGCTTCTTCTACATCAAAGGAAGGCCTGGCCTCTTGGTTAAATCATGTTTCCTTAAGTGCATTTTGTACATATTATTACTCTAAGATGCTTCATTAACAAACAAGAATCTTTGTTCAGGTAAATTTGTGAAGTACGATAGCTGATGACATCTGGAACACACTTTGGACCACGCTGGGCGCGGTAGGCTGCATAATGCCCCCCACCAGCTATGTCACATCTTAAGTTTCGGGACCTGTGAATATTTTATGGCAAAAGGACACTTTGCAGATATGATTATGTTAAGGATCTTGAGATAAGAGATTATTATGGACCATCTGGTGGGCCCTCAATGCTATCGTAAGTGTCCATATAAGAGGGAAGCAGAGGGGGATCTGACCACACAGAGAAACAAGGCAATGGAAGCAGAGACTTGATGCTAAGCTGCTGCTGCTAAACAAAGAGGAGGAGCCATGAGCCACAGAATGCAGCTCTAGAGACTGGAAAAGGAGGGGAAAGATTCTCTCCTAGAGCCTACAGAGGGAGCATGCGCTGCCAACACCCTGGTTTTGGCCCAGTGAAACCATTTTGGACTTCTGACCTCCAGAACTACAAGGTAATAAATGTGTTGTTTTAAAGTCCCCACATTCGTGGTAATTCGTTACAGCAGTCATACGGAATGAATACAATGAGTTAAGGTCTAGGAATCGGGGAAGGAGAGCAGGAAGCGTAAGAGTTAAAGTCCCACATAGCTGGATTGGAACTCTACTCTTCAACTTACTGACTTGGCTGTGGTCCAGCCTTCTCCAATTCTCAGCTTCTTCACCTGAAAATTGGGGCTAACGACTTCCTCATGTTTAGTGTGAGTATTCAATGAGAAGGGAAGTAGCAGATGGATCGCAGGGAGTATTCAAATGTTGGTTCCCTTTCCCTGGCTGTTTTCTGTTCAGAGGAACTGCCAGAAACTTGTCTTCTCCCAGGCGGCTCCTACTGTGGAAGTCACACAAGGACCCAGGGTGACCCCCGAAGACCCAGGGTGAGATCATTGTTGGCCTTGCTCGGTATCATGTATGTGCGCGCTGTGCGAATATCCATCGAGAGAGGCTGATTCAATTGTTCTCATCCTCTAACTACAGTTTCTGCCCATCATAGTAGATAATCAGATGCAGGCCCAGTAACAAGAATCATCCCTTACCTCTTAGCTACCGTGATGATTAATTTTACATGTCAACCTGACTGGGCGATGGGATGCCTGGGTATGTCTATGAGGGTGTTTCCAGAAGAGATCAGCATTTGAACTGGTGAACTGAGTAACGCAGACGGCCCTCCCCATGTGGTGGGAATCATCCAATCCATTCAGGGCCCAAATAGAACAAAAAGGCAGAAGAAGGGCAAACTCACTCTCTCTGCTTGAGCTGAGACATCCATCTTCTTCCCTCAGACAGCAGCACTCCTGGTTTTACACCACCAGCTTTCCTGGATCTCCAGCTTATGGAGAGCAGACTGTGGGCCTTCGCAGCCGCCATAATCACGTAAGCCAATTCCTATAAGAAATCTTCTCTTATACGTATCTGTTCTATTCTATTGGTTCTGTTTCTCTGGAGAACCCTAATACCACTATTAAATCTAAATTATTCCCCTGAAGGGAAGATAAGAGGGCAAGATGAGGATCACTGCAACAGTCTGAGAAGTCACCATGATCTGACAGCCCTTTAAGGACAGGCCCAGTTTATCTGGGCTGGGAAGAACATGGAGCCCAGAAGTCTGAATGGGCCACTGAAAGTTCATTACAGCAACAGAAGCCTGCCCATGTGTACTCACTGCAAAGAAGGTCAAATCCTCTGCCTTAAACGTTTAACTTTAGCCCTATCCTGTGTCCTCCTATAACCCTGAGATGTGTATAGCTTCAAAACATGACACTGAAAGGACTGACGGTGTGATTTATTTAGTTTCAGTATACTGCAGTGGATTACAAATAATCTGTACGTTTAAAAGGAAACTCTTCTGTCATAAGAGAGCAAGCTGTAACTCAAGGACTGGAGCCGGTTTCCCCCATCCCCGCAGCGCTGGCTCTGGCCAGTCAGCATTCACACCAAACAGACCCGTCTATTAATTAGCCAAGCCCTCTCTCCCGACTGCCAGCCTTCTGAATGGAATGACAAGGGGCCATGTCTTTAAAAACGTCAAGGAGCAGAAATCTCTGCTGATTCCCCCAGGAACCTCTATAAAGGCACGGGTTCTTTAAAGCAAGCTAGAGAATGAACCTGTCAGTGGGTGGGCTCTGTGGAAGAACAATCCTGGTCCCTCCCCCTGTTTTACAGTAGTGTGCTAGTGGCTCTCAAAGATTTCCCAGAAATTTGCTTTAAGGAAAAATCACAGCTTTCTTGATTAGCATCTAAAAGGCACTTACGCGCATTTTCACTTAGGAAATTGACTGAGCGATGAAGAGTAACACTGAACCATTCTCTTATCCTGAATGGCCAACATTCTGGATCTAAACTGGTAGGTGGCTGCACCGCCGCGGTCAAGAGAGCCGCTTCTCATTATTCCCAGGCCCGGCCGTGTTCACTGGCTTCTCTGCACGTTTTCAAAAAGCAGACTCCACATCACCCATCTCCACACACACAGTCTTTAGTTGTGAATAATATTCAATTGTCACACGGCCATTCTCTCTGCCAAACCCTGAAAGGAAGAGAAGGGGTGAGGGTGAGCCATTGCGGTAATCCAGCCACAGTGACCTGCAGAAACAGGCACTGCTCCCAGGGCTGGAGAAGAGTGCAGAGCCAAGAAGTTCTGGGATCAAGTCCTCAACTGCATGTATTAACTGTGGAGCTAGACGTAGGAAAAGTAACACACTAGCCTTCGGGGATGGGGAAATATTTAGGTTTCATTTCTTACCAGTACGACTCTTAACTTCTAGTATCTACTCTTCTAGACTAAGGTCTAAAAAATGTTCAGACTTTCTTATCAAGCATTAGAGCATTCTCTACAATTATCAATCAACCTGATGCCTTTGAAAGTCAGTGCTAACTTAAAACTTAACTCTACATAATAGGCTTATTAACCTTCTCTTATACTAAATCTGTAAGAGCACCTACTATTTATACTCTGTCCACTCACGTGGGGAGTGGACCCTTTAGGCTCTCAGGTTACTCAAAGCCAAGACACTGCCCAATCAATAGTAGATGAGGTTACAGGACAGCCTTCCTTGTGTCCCCTACCCCAGACCGAGGCAGGCTCTGCATCCTAAGAGCAAGGCCCAGTCTCCAAAAATGCACATCTCCAGGGGGCATCATTCCAAATGGGACATACACAATGGCCCTGCTAAGGCCTCACTCTGCCTTTTGTTCCTTTCCAAATCCTCTCAGCATGGAGCCCACTGGGCATGTTAGGCCAGCTTTCTGTCCCTCTCATCTCATATAGGCATATCCATGGGCACTGATCCAAAGATTCAGGTTTAGGGAAGGGAAAGCTGGCCTCAGAGGCCCCACTGAGGCCAAAGCTGCAGATTGCAAACAAACTGAGGGTTATGAATTAATAAAACAGAGCCTTGGTTCCTACCCTGCATTTAGGTCTGTGTTACAGCTCCTCCAGGTACCCCATAGGGACAAGAAGGACTAGTGAAGTATGACTAGAGAATGCCAGAATGATACCAAACGCAATACCAAATAAAACTGTCAAATTAACACCCACCATCTCATCATCATTCATCCGTGTTTATATGTTTGCCAACACGGTGATGGCCATAAATATCTGCCAGGAGAGTAGGGGTCGGACTCTTAGAATGGTGCACCCACAAAGTCCAAACCAATTTTCATACAGAATTGGTGAAATTAGCAACAAACTCCAAAGAAAGAACCTCAAAGTAATGGCTATGTTCCTGATGCCTCAAATCTCCTAACAGACTAGATTTGCAAACTTGCCGTGGTTAGAACGCCTAGGGGTGGTTTCACACTTAATGGCAATCACAGACTGTGAGGAAAAAGTAATCCTACCCATGAGATAAACCTTTTTCAGATATATGTCAGCTGTTCACAATCCAGTCTACACATCAAAGACTTCTGGAGAGCTTCTGGAAAAAAATAAAGATACTCAGCTTCCATTGCCAGAGACAGATACAGTGGGCCTGGGGAGGACCAGGAATTCATATACTTTTCCAGGTGATTCTGATATACACACGGGTTTAGGAACCTGTTCCATAAGGACTGAATTTTGACCAGTGTTTCTAGAGACGGGGGTTTGCTTTCACAGTTCCCAGATCCTCACCTGACTTCTTATATCCACCAAAGGGCAACTCCACTGGGCTGACATTATAGTTGTTAATAAAGCACATTCCAGCCTGAAGCGCAGCCACCACTCTGTGGGCACGCTGGATGTCCCTATGAAGAAAAAAATGCATTGGTTATTCACAGTTTCTTTTGCTACAACCTTACCAGGAAAAGTTAGACGGTCACTTCTAAGGGTCTCAAAACATTGCCAAATTCTTGTTTCTTCAAACTGTGTTTTAAAATCTTATACCATCCATGCAAAATAGATAAGGATTTGAATTTTACAGTCTCATCCAAACGCATGTATAAAATAAGCAGCAGCAACAAGGGTGCCAAAACAATTCAATGGGGGAAAATAGTCTTTTCAACAAATAGTGCTAGAACAACTGGATATACATATGCAGAAGAATGAAGGAAGATCCCTTTCTTACACTACACACAAAAATTAACTCAAATGGGTCACTGACCTAAAATGTCAGAGTGAAAACCACAGAACTCTTTGAAGCAAACAGGAATACATCTTCATGACCTTCGGTTAGATACAATCTTCTTAGACATGACACCAAAAGTAACAGATACAGAAAAAATAGAATAATTACACTGACAAAATTTTAAAATTTTGTGCTGCAAACGAGACTATCAGGAAAGTAAAAAGACAACTCACAGAAATGCAAATCAAAACTGATACAAGACACCACTGCACGACCTCTAGGATGGCTAAAATCAAGAGAACCGACAATAACAATTGCTGACTAGGATGTGGAGAAACTGCAACCCTTATACATTGCTGATGGGAATGTAAAATGGTACTGCCACTTTGGAAAACAGTTTAGCAGCTCCTCAAATAGTTAAACACAGAGTCACCCTAGGATCCAGCAATTCCACTCCTGGGTATATACCAGAAATGAAATATACAAATATCTACACAAAGACTCATATATGAATGCTCACAGGAGCATTATTCATAATAGCCAAAAAGTAGAAACAGCCCAAATGTCTACCAATGGGTCAATGAATAAACGAAATGTGATATATCCATACAACAGAATATTACTCAGTAGTAGAAAGGAATAAAGTAGTGATACGTACTATAACAGTAAATGAACTTTGAGAAGAAGCCAGCAGATGAACTAAGTGAAAGAAGCCAGTCATGAAGGGTCACATACTGTATGATTTCATCTACGTAAAATATTCAAAATATGCAAATCTATAAAGACAAAGTAGATCAGTGGTTGCCAGGGACTGGGGGGAGGGGAAAATGCAGAGTAACTGTTATTGTTCTTAGAATGAAGAAAATGTTCTAAAATTAGATTATGACAGTTGCACAATCTGTAAATATACTAAAAACTGTTGAATTGTACAATTTAAAATAGGTGGATTGTTTGGTACATGAATTATCCCAACAAAGCTGTTTTAAAAAAAAAAAAAGGAGTTACCCTCCTTTGTAACTGGCCTTTGTCTGTATTTTGGTGGCGAAGCAAAGCAAGAGGAGAGACTTATCCCACTCAATCCTCAAATCAAAAAAAGCAGCTCCTGGGACTTCCCTGGTGGTGCAGTGGTTAAGACTCCACACTCCCAATGCAGGGGCCCTGGGTTCAATCCCTGGGGAATTGAGATCCCGTAAGATCGGGGAAATAAGATCCCGTAAGCTGTGAGGCACAGCCCAAAAAAACAAAGCAAAACAAAACAAAACAAACAAACAAAAAAGCAGCTCCTCAGAGAGGACTTTTAGGGTAGTGAAACTACTCTGTATGATATTACAACAGTGAGTACAAGTTATTATACATTTGTCCAAACCCATAGAATGCACACCAAGAGTGAACCCTAATGTGGACTATAGTCTTTGGGTGATAAAGATGTGTTCACGTAACTTCATCAGTTCTAACAACTGTTCCACTCTGGTGGGGGATGTGGATCATGGGGGAGACTATGCATGTGTGGGGCAGGAGGAGCTGGGAAATCTCTGTACTTCCACTCAGTTTTGCAGTAAACCTAAAAGTGCTTTTAAAAATAAAGTCTATTAAAAAAAAAAAAAAAGTAGCTCCTCACTTTTTTCTTCAGAACTCAAAAAGAAGCTACTACATCAGGTCCTCAAGGGAGACTTGGGTCTTCCATCCCACGTTCCTGACCACAAATCTACAAAAAATAATAACCTTGTATGTCACTAAAGAAACCGCATAATCCCAAGTGTAAACAGTCTTAGAAAACTGCCTACTACTGCCAAAGACTAATCAGAATTTGTACATAAACAAGCAATCTGCAAGAATTTTCTAAGAAATTTTTCTCCGAAATCACTTTTTGTTTTTCTTATAGTGGTTAAAGTTTATGTACAAAGATATTAATCCCAACATTACTTACAACAGTTAAAACTGGAAATAGCACCCTAAATACACAACAATAGAAAAAAGGCCCACATGTGTTACAATGCATTCCAATTTAGGGACTTCTATAAAGCTAAAAATCATGGCTTTGAAGGATCCTGCCCAGTATTTATATGCTTATGGATTTCTAAATTCCTTGACATACATGTTTTTAATAGGCACCTAACATGATGCTTTACATAGATCAGAAACTTAAATATTTATTCAATGTATGAATGAAAAAAGGATAGAATTTTCATCAATAAAGCTAATAGCTTAATTTAAACTCAACACTAGGGTTCTCTGGCTATTCAGGGCTAACTGTGAAATGCTACTTTGCCATCTTTTGACTTTAACTGAAGCAAATAGAAAGTGCTGATGAAAACGCAGTGAGGGCAAACTCCAGTGAGGGAACAAGATCAATTAAATATCTAAGAAGACATTGCAGCCCCATTTCTTCAAAGCCACTTGGGGTGTCCTTCCCCACCTACCTGGTGAAGACACCAGCTGCTAGTCCGAAAGTGGTATCATTGGCTCTTTCCAGAACCTCAGCTTCAGTGTCAAATGATAAAATGGACATAACCGGTCCAAAAATCTCTTCTTTCACACAGGTCATGTCATCTCTACAATTAGCTGCAAACATTATTAAAAAACCAAACATCAGCAAAGGAATGATTATTTCTGGCACGTTAAAATTTCCTGTTCATAGTAAACAGTGAATACACGGCTTTAGAGAAATTTCAATGTGACATTCTCAGTGTGAATATAAATCCGAGCATCCTTTCTGCATGACGATTCAACACTACATATTAAGGAGCCATGGCCTCTGTGTTCATTCTAAATCTACTTTTTTGAATTCATCATAAGGAAATAGCTAATGAGGTGTACAAGGATGTACACACAAGGACTTCCATCACAACATTCCTGTGACAGTCAAAACTAGAAGCAACACACTAGACATCCAAAATAGATGGGATGATCACGTGAATGGTACACAACCCAATGATGAACTTCTATGAAGCATCAAAAAGTAATGTTTTGGGGCTTCCCTGGTGGCGCAGTGGTTGGGAGTCCGCCTGCCAATGCAGGCGACATGGGTTCGTACCCCGGTCCGGGAGGATCCCACATGCCACGGAGCGGCTGCGCCCGTGAGCCATGGCCGCTGAGCCTGCGTGTCCGGAGCCTGTGCTCCGCAACAGGAGAGGCCACAACAGTGAGAGGCCCGCATATCGCAAAAAAAAAAAAAAAAAAGTAATGTTTTGGAGACTTCCCCGGTGGTCCAGTGTTAAGAATCCGCCTTCCAATGCAGAGGACGCGGGTTCGATCCCTGGTTGGGGAACTAAGATCCCACATACCGCAGGGCAGCTAAGCCCGTGCGCCACAACTAGAGAGCCCACGCGCCCCAACTACTGGGCCTGCGTGCTCTGGAGCCCACATGCCACAACTACAGAAGCCCACGTGCCACAACTAAGAAGCCCATGCACCACAACAGAGACTCAGCGCAGCCAAAAAAAAAACAAAAAAAAAACGGTGCGTGTGTGTGTGCGTATAGGATGCACTCCAAATGAATTAAAATGATTACTAAAAAAAAGAAGTAATGTTTTTGAAGAAAACTTAATAAGTAAATGCTCATGATTAACATTCACTGAAAAAGGTACAAACAGTATATATCCTCCCAATTTCTGTTAAAATGTTACACATGACTAACATTTTTTATATTTTTTCACATTTTCTTAATGACTCTGATATGATTAGAATGAGAAACAATATTTTTAAAAAAGAAAATACAATGTAAAAATAATAACTTAGAAATAAGGAGTGTTCATTTTATATGAAAATATACTTAAGTTTTTAAGTGGCTAAATCCCTAAAAAGATTAAATTCACACTTGACATTTTAAAATATGCATATATGTCTAAAGAAGCTCATATATTTAGATGTGAAATACTGAACCTCACTGATCCTCAAAACAGTGGTGCTTTTATCCACACTTTGGCTGAAGAACAGCTCACCTCAATGCTGGAAACCACGCATGGAGTGAGATATGCTGTTTGTAAGGTTGTGTGACACATGTAAACAATGTGGAGGCAGAAAAGCAGCTTGAGAACCCTACTTTAAACACCAGCTTTACACGAGCCAAAGCTAAAAACCAACTGCTCACAGATCTACAAAGAGGAGGACTCTAAAATCTCATAAGAGATGAATCAGAGCTTGCGCATACAAAGTAAGAACAGCACTCTGGTCGTGTGTATGTTACACTGTACTCTGGGGACACCTAAACTACCTTCAAAGGTATATTAAATAATTTTAGGTTGTGTTTAAGGATAGTTTATTATAATCTAAATCTTGGAAAATTAGTAATCCACATACAATTTTTAGGGAAATTGTTAGCCAGAATATTAAATTACTCAAGATAATTCATTACCCAACAGTCCCAGAATACAGTTTGTCTTACACAGGTTGATAACACAGTATGGCTCTGTGTGCAATGCATTCTATATTGGAGAGTCAAAAGAGATGAGGGGATAAAGCGGCAGCTGATGTTACGAGAAAAGAAAAGGTTCCTGCCCCACACATAACACTCATTATACTTTAGCCCCAAATCTCAAGTAAATGAATCTAAAGATTGAGGTTCTGGAGTCATTCTCCAGTCATTTTATATGCGTAAAAATGTACGGAGGACTTATTAACATGCAGATCTCAAGGTCCTGGGCCCTGAAAGTGACATTTGGGGGTCTAGGGCAGGGATGAGAAATCTGCATTTTTAACAAGTTTTCCAAGTGATACTGACACTGTAGATGACAAACAAGGCTTTCAGAATCACTAGAATGAAGTTAAGGTAGTTAGCTCCCTGTCCTTTGCATAGGTTCACAGTTTGTTTAAAAACATTTTTTTTCCTAATTGTAAAATACATGTTCTCTGTAGAAAAATCTGTAATATTCAGAAATGCACAAAGTATAATAAAAAATCACCTTTAATCTCAGCATCTAGAGAAATCCACTATCAATATTATGATGCAGACGTCCCTGGTGGCACAGTGGTTAAGAATCTGCCTGCCAATGCAGGGGACACGGGTTCGAGCCCTGGTCTGGGAAGATCCCACAGGCCACGGAGCAACTAAGCCTGTGCACCACAACTACTGAGCCTGTGCTCTAGAGCCCGTGAGCCACAACTACTGAGCCCCCGCGCCACAACTACTGAAGCCCATGCACCTAGAGCCCATGCTCCACAACAAGAGAAGCCAGTGCAATGAGAAGACCACACACCACAACGAAGAGTATCCCCCACTCACCACAACTAGAGAAAGCGCATGTGCAGCAACAAAGACCCAACACAGCCAAAAATAAATAAATAAAATGAATTTATTTAAAAACAAAAACAAAAAACCTGATTCCTTTTAAAAAAAATATGATGCATATTCTGTTCCTTCTTTTTCCCATGTACATATTTGATTTTTAATAGATTTGGGATAATGCCATATACACTACTGTTTAACCTGTATTTTCTATGTAAAAACATATAGTAAGTTTTCCCTCTTCCTTAATAGCTACAAGCTAATCCATGGCATGGATGCTAAATTCACAGCCCTTAAACCTCAGCAGACCTTTAGCTTTTTAGCAAGACCTAAAAGGTTAAACTGCACCAAATATCAAGGGTTGAAAAGTGTGACACCACTATCAACCTCAGGGACAAAAATCAGCTGAATCTATCTTCAGGATAAGGTGTAAGGAATTATACAACATAATTCCATCTATATATAGGTTTTTAAAGTCAAGGAAACTAGCAATATTTTCATAGGAGATACAATATAAAATGACAGAGAAAAGTATATGACAACAACAACATCTAGAACAGTGTCACCCCCAGTAGAAGAGAAGGAGATGGGTGTGAGGACAGTAGGATGACCACATACTTGACTGTCCAAACCAGGAGATTTTTCAGATTGAAAGGAAGTGCTAAAATTATTATATCATATAATTTTTGAAAATATTAATATATTGTCCAACAAATTGGTTTTATTATATTGATGACCTAAAGTTCAAAGAAAAGCACATTCTTTACCAACTTTCTTGAGAAAAGAAATTCATTACTGAATTTTTAACAAACATGCCCTTTCATTTTTTTGGAGTGCCTTGATTCTAGAACAACAGCTGTACACCCAGTTGAGTCCCATGTAACTGATATCATTGTCCAAGAAGAGAAGGGGCACACATGAGGTTTCCAAGGTAAGGGAGAACTTCTACTCCTTAAATCTGAGTAGCAGGGACACACAGTTTGCCAACACTTGCCTTATACCATATACACAGTTTAAAAATATTCTTGTCTATCTGACATTTAATTCAAACTGTTTAAAAGCAAACAAGAAGAGGACATACTTAACACACAAGGTCTCATGTAATACCCATCCTTTAATTTGGGATCTTCAGGTACGTAGAGGTCTCCACCACATAATACTTTAGCACCCTGCCAAAAAAGAACGCATATTTTATGTTAAACATAAAACCCCAGTATGCATTCCCGAAATGCCACTTGTGTCCTGAACAAATGCATACTTAGTCACTCCACTGCAAGTACAATGCAGAATACAGCTCCCAAATGGATATGACCATAGGAAAGAAGCATAGAGCAAGTAACCTAGGAGTAACTACCCCTCCCCCTCCTCTCATCTCACCTCCACTTATTTCTCACCTGCTCCTTTGCCACTTTAACAAACCCAAGGACTCGCTCCAGATGTGGTCGGTTGATCAGGGGACCCATCCTTGTATCTTCCAGAAGGGGATCTCCAATTTTTATCCTTTGGGTCTGTTTCACCACTTCCTCTGAAAATTGATCAAGAATTTCCTTTTGCACAAATACCCTTGTACCATTACAACAAACCTAAAGGACAGACACACAAAAATTTATATGTAGATGAGGGGGAAAAAAAGGAAAAGGATAAAAAGTTCAACAGCTTTAAATTTAAAAGAGACAGTATACTTTCTTTAAAGGTTAGTTCCACTTCTAAACATTATCACCATACTGAATAGGATCACACGTGTAATTGTGGACATAGTACCTCACACACAAACTCTCTGCCTTTGTTTTTGTATAAATTTCCTTAAAGCAATGAACAGATCCACATGACCCATAGGACTTCTGTTTCTTCATCTCAGATCCTCAATTTGGCTGTATATTTTGAGAGCAGGAAGTAAGAGTGGAAGGGACTGAAGAGTAAAAATAGATCAAGAACTGAGGCCTTCAGTCTAATAAAAACCTAGGGCGGTTCAGAGTCAATGTTTGTCTCTAAAAACACAAGTAATGGGACTTCCCTGGTGGTGCAGTGGTTAAGAATCCCCCTGCCAATGCAGGGGACATGGGTTCGATCCCTGGTCCAGGAAGATCCCACATGCCACAGAGCAACTAAGCCCATGCGTCACAACTAGTGAGCCTGCACTCCAGAGCCTGCGAGCCACAACTACTGAGCCTGCGTGCCACAACTACTGAAGCCTGTGCGCCTAGAGCCCGTGCTTCGCAACAAGAGAAGCCACCACAATGAGAAGCCCACACAGCGCTATGAAGAGTAGCCCCTGCTCGCTGCAACTAGAGAAAGCCCGCACGCAGTGCCAAAGACCCAACGCAACCAAAATTTAAAAAAAAAACACACACACAAGTAATGACTATTTAGACCCTCCCACAGACATGAACATAAATACTACTCAAATGATATCAGAACAGTAGAACAGAAAAGAAAGTCCAAAAATAGATCCAAGCACTCAAGGAAATTTAGTTTACGATAAAGGTGGAATCTAAAACCACTAGAGTAAAGATGAATTAGTAACAAATGGTTCCACTGGTTACCCATGTGGAAAAAAAGATACAATCTCATACTGTACACAGGAGTAAACCCCAAATGTATAAGGAATCTAAGTATAGAATAAAAAACCAATTACCAAGAGAAAATATAGGTGAATTCTACTATAACCTAGGTGCAGGAAAAGGTTTTCTAACTAGTACTCAAAATCTAGGTGCAATGAAAGAAAAAAATGATAAATTTGACTACATAAAATCAATAATCTTTTGCATGGCAAAAACATCCTAAACAAAGCCAAGACAACAAACTGGAAGAAAACATTTACAACGTACATCACAGATAAAGGGTACTATCACCAATATTTAAATAACTTATAAAAACTGAGGGAAAATCAAAACTAATAGTATAACACACCAAAAAAAGTGAACTTGGGAATTTTCTGGCAGCCCAGTGGTTAGGACTTGGCGCTTTCACTGCCAAGGACCCGGGTTTGATCCCTGGTTGGGGAACTGAGATCCTGCAAGTGTTGCAGCACGGCCAAAAAGAAAAAAAGTGAACTTCACTATGTGTGAATAAGAGAAAAATCTCTACAAAAAGAATTGAAGGAAATGACTAGATGTTCAATATAAAATTGGATAAAAGTTATGCACAATTCACACACACACATATAAATGGTCCTTAAGCCTAGAAAAGATGTTCAATCTCGTTCATAATTAGATAATTGATATTAAAACTACAATGAAGTATCACCCCTTACCTCGTGAGGAAATAGGCACACATATATTGTTGGTAGGAATGCAAGTTGGTCCAACCCATTTGGAGGGGAATATGGCACTATCTTACAAAATTATATATGCACTCAACATCACTAATCATAAGGGAAATATAAATAAAAACCTACAGTGAGATACTACTTCACATCTACTCTGATGGCTGCGACCAAAAAAACCAGAAAATAACAAGTATTGGCAAGGATGTGGAGAAATTAGAGCCTTTGTGCATTGTTGGTGAGAACGTAAAATGGTGCAGCTGCTGTAGAAAACAGTATGGCAATTCCTTGAAAAATTAAACACAGAATTACTATATGATCTAGAAATTCCACTTCTGGGTATATAGTGAAAGTGAAAGCGGGGACTTGAATAGATATTTGCACATCAGTGTTCACAGCAGTACCAGTCACAATAGCCAAAGGTAGCAGTAACCTAAATGTCCACCGGTAGATGAATGGATAAAGAAAATGTGGCATACATATACAACGGGATATTATGCAATCTTGTAAAGGAAGAAAAATCTGACACATGCTACAACATAGATGAACCTTAAAGACCTTAAGTTAAGTGAAATAAGCCAGACACAAAAGGACTAATACTGTTTGATTCCACTTACATGAGATACCTAGAATAGTCAAATCCATATAGATAGAAAGTAGAATAGTGGTTACCGGGGACTGGGAAGAAAAGGATATATGAAGTTATTGTTTAATGTGTAGAGTTTCAGTCCTATAAGATGAAAAGAGTTCTAGAGGTGGATGGTGGTGATGGCTGCATAACAGTGTGAATGTACTTAATGCCACTGGACTGTACACTCAAAAATGATTAACACGGTCAATTTTATATTATATGTATTTTACCACAAAAAAATAGGCACAAAAAATTACATTTACCACTTCTAGGAATTTACTCTGAAAATATATCTCCAACAATGTGAACACACACGTGCACGAGGTTATTCACTGCAGAACTGTTTGTAATCACAAAATACTGGAAACTAAATCCCATCCAAAAAGACAGTAGTTGAATAAACTAACAGCTATACAAGGAATTATACTACACAGCTATAAAGAAGAAAGAAGATTTCTATGAAATGAAGTGATTTCCAAGTGAAAAAAGCAAAACAGTAATTCTGCTATCTTTTGTGTTGAGGAAAGAAGAGAAAATAAGAAATATACAAGTACCTGGTCATTTGTGTAAAAAGAAATAGGAAGGAAAAATGAGAAACAGGTTTGGTTGGATAGGGATGGAAGAAGGAGGGAACGGGAATGAGTAGAAGGGATAGGAGGAGTGCCATTTGTTTCCTTTTTTGGTAAAATTCTGACATTTAGAACCATGTTAGTATTTCGCCTAAAGCAAGGATGGGTGAAAATAAACCCCAAATGAAATAAAAACAGAAATGAATAAACTCATTATTTAAAATGAATATCATAACCATACTGAAGGGGGTGGTGAAGGAAGAACTGACTCATTAACTTCTGAACACAGAATTTTAACTGTACCCCAGGCTAAAGACAAAAAGAGCTGTAAAAAAAAAATGTTGCACTCTAGTTAGAAGGTTTATTTTTCACAGTAGTGTACTTTCACAAATCTGAAACTATTATAAACATATTGTAGGACAGAGTAATTACATATATTGTGAGTAATGGAAGCTAAATGTCTCACTGTCAGAGAAGGAAATTATAAATATGAAAGGGAGGAGGCTAAAATAAACCTTGCAGTTTTGGAATGACTGGAAATATCTGTATAAACTTGTAGTTATTAATATAGATGGATACATAAATAGATGTGTGTATACATACATACACATATGCCGAATATATATTTCCTGGCTCTGGCCTCTGAGAAGACATATGAGCAATGATACTCCAGTAGAAACGAGTACAGCTGGCACCCAGATCTTGGTTTCTAAATACCATCTACCACTAAATGGAACCAAGCCTCCTTAGCGAAATGGCTCATTACAGAGCTCCACCAGAGAAAGCACAAGACGTGTCTAGAACGCCTTGCTGTGCCAGGAAGTAAAGAAGTGCTCAAAGAATGATGAGAACATATCAAAAAGTCACAGAAAGAGGCTCCCACTATCTGAATCTGCAATTATTTGAGCATCAAAATAAATAATACTAGTAATGGGTTATAACTTGCAGAATGAAATAAGAATCCATTGGTGCATGCTGATATAATGAACGAAAAACAAACTAGGGAAAAGGGAAAAAAGTTCTTTCTTGTAATAGACAGTGAACTATATAAATGTAGAAGGAGTAACAGAATTGGAAATACACCAATTTTTCTTGGTGACCACCAGAAAAAAATGTTTCCAGCAAACATCAACAAAGGGTGCTAACACTAGTAGGTCAAAGTTTGATAAGGAACAAGATAGTCTCCCTTTATCTCCTACAATATACTTATTAACCACAAAGGAAAAAACAGTAACTTTACAGTAAAGACCCACTTTAAGCAAGTGATCAAAGTCAGCAACACCACTGTGAAATATAAAACATCTTTTTTTGTGGTGTTTTGCCAAAAATGCATAACCTGAATCCAATTAAAAAAAAAAAAAAACAGACAAAACCTAGACAGACCCAAAATGAGGGACATTCCACAAAATAAATGGCCTGTATTCTTCACAAATGTCAAGGTCCTGAAAGATAAGAATGACTTCAAAACTGTTCCAGATTAAGTGAGAGTAAAGAGACACAACAAGTAAATGCAATGCATCTTCCTGGATTAGATCTTGGACCAGCAAAAAAAAAAATTGTTTCTAAAAGGACATTAGTCAAACAAATGGAGAAATCTGAATAAGGGCTATAGATTGAGTAACAGTACTACATTAATATCAAGTTATATATTTTACTAAGTATTTTGTACTTATTTAAAAGAATGCACTTGTTTTTAGGAAATACACATAGGAATGTAGAGGTTAGGGATCTTCTGTCTGCAACTTTCAAACAGATCAGAAAAAAAAACAGTAATAATATGCATATGTAGGTATAGACATACCAACAGAATGGTAAATGTGATAAAATGTTAACACTGAGGGACCTGGTTCAAAGATAGATTGGAATTCTTTGTACTATTTGTGCAACTTTTCTGTAAGTCTGAAATTATTTCAAAATAAGCTTTAAAACACGTTTTGAGGGCTTCCCTGGTGGCGCAGTGGTTGAGAGTCCGCCTGCTGATGCAGGGAACACGGGTTCGTGTCCCGGTCCAGGAGGATCCCACATGCCACAGAGCGGCTGGGCCCGTGAGCCATGGCCACTGAGCCTGCGCGTCCGGAGCCTGTGCTCCGCAACGGGAGAAGCCTCAACAGTGAAAGGCCCGCGTACCGCAAAAAAAAAAAGAAAAAGAAAACACACTGTGAGATGAAGGGGTCGAGATTCTTATTAAACCTCTTCCAGGGTCAGGTACACACCTCGCCTTGCGTGAGGAAGTTGGCCATCAGTGCCCCCTTCACAGCATTCTTCATATCACAATCTGAGAAGATGATCAGTGGAGACTTGCCTCCAAGTTCCAAGGTAACAGGTTTAATTCCTTTAGCTGACATCTCCATGATCTTACAGAACAAGAACAAAAGCATTCAGAAGTCTAACACCAATGAGATTACATGCTACGTTAACAAGATCCTGACCCTCCAAAGTCATCTTGAACTATGCATGACCTGCAGCCTTGTTCTTAGTATACTTTGTACTCTGTCTACTTGAAATATTCTTTTCCAGAACACTGAAGAGAATCCTCAGAATTGCACTTGATAGTCTGAATAGGGAGTTCATTTAAAAAATACTATCAATTCCCCTGACTGTCATGGGCAGAAACTCTTTTGTATTACTGTTACTATGTTCAAGGCGGACACAGTTCAGAGCACAAACTAAGGTCAAAACAATGAATCTGAAATAAACTGAGAAAATACCCTTTCTTCCGAGGTGGCTGCTATAGATGAGGTAAGTCACCAAACAATACAAGTGACAGCTCAGGGCCTGCCCTCTCAGACACAGGCAGGAGAAGATGACTCCCATCCCCAATGAGCCTAACACAAGTGGGCTGTTCTAATTATCCTTCATACTTTTAAAGCACACTTCAGACCTCTGCCCAATAATACCTAGACTCCCTGCCAATACAAGCTGGGTAAAATCAGAGGATAAGCCTCCAACATATATTCTGGGGAGGCTTGACACAGCCGGATCTACATCCATTTATGTTCTCCTATACTGGTCTTGTCTTTACCTTTGAGCCAGTGGGCACACTTCCAGTGAAGGAGACTTTGGCCACATCGCGATGCTGACACAGAAACTGGCCTGTGGCAGCCCCTCCTTGCACCACGTTGAAGAGCCCAGGAGGCACGCCGGCCTCAGTATAGATTTCAGCCAGCAGCAGTGTGGACACAGGTGTGAAGGGAGAAGGCTTAAAGACCATGGCGTTACCTGCATTACCGAGACACAAACACAGGAAGACTTTTAAGACAGGATCCTTTGAAGACAGGACAAGAAGACACATCAAGAACAACTCCAATTGTTTCCTTTTTTAAAATTTTAATTAATTAATTTATTTATTTATTTTTGGCTGTGTTGGGTCTTCGTTGCTGCATGCAGGCTTTTTCTAGTTGCAGTGAGCGGCGGCTACTCTTTGTTGCAGTGTGCAGGCTTCTCATTGCGGTGGCTTTTGTTGCGGAGCACGGGCTCTAGGCGCACAGGTTCAGTACCTGTGGCACACGGTCTTAGTTGCTCTGTGGCCTGTGGGATCTTCCAGGACCAGAGCTCAAACCTGTGTCCCCCCTGCATTGGCAGTTGGATTCTTAATCACTGCACCACCAGGGAAGCCCCTCCAATTGTTTCCTGTTCCCCATCAAATGCTAGGTCAAAAATGTTATTAATAAGTAAATATATCTTGCTCTTCCCACTTTGGTTTCTCTCATTAAACAGACCCCAAGCCACACACTTGCAGTGTCTCAGCCAATAATACCTTACACTTGCATATCTAGGCCTTTTTGCATATATTAATCTCAACATTTGCAACAGTAGTAAGAAGTAGGTATGATCAGACCCATTTTATAAGAGTTGAAACTGAAGACCAGAAAGGTTAATTAATTTGATGCAAGTACCCAAAGCTAGTAACTTAATTCTATTTCTCCTCTATCACAGAGAAATGTGCAAAAAGAACGTGAAGCAGCAAAAAGAAAAAAGCTGCATTTCAATAGAGTGTCCTAATAGTAAAGCTTTTTTAACCTGACAGTTTTTCTAAGGTACAATGTCTTCTTTTCCGACAGATTCTTCTCTTTAAATAGCATGAGAAAACTTTTTGTTAATCAGCCAAAGCTTCTCTGATGGAAGCCTTGTTTATCACTTCTCTTAAGACACAAATGAAGGAGGAAGTTTATCTTCTGCTTCCTAAATGAAGTCAAAACTCCTAAGTGCTACCCCCTACACAGAAATTCATGCCCAGAATTCTTGTCCATAAAGGAAGAGAACTTACAAGTAGCACAAATCTAATTCATTTGACAGTTTAAAAAAGGAAGACCTCCAAGACCAAAATTAACTTTCTTCCTTCCCATAAACAAAAATAAATTAAATAAAAATGGGAATAATGTAGACACGGTCTGTGTGTATAACCTCAAAGCTCCCTAAGGGGTAGGGCAGGGGTGAAACCGTGTCCTGGGAGAAAGGGTGGCTCACATGTAGAGGAATAATTCATTCTTACCACAAGCCAGAGCTGGAGCCGACTTCCAGCAGGCGATCTGAAAGGGGTAGTTCCACGCTCCTATTCCGACACACACCCCTAGTGGTTCCCTTCTGGTGTAACCAAAGGATCCGCCGGGGAGCTGGATGTGTTCGCCTAAGGGGAAAAAGAGGGTAGAGAAGAGTGCAGTACCGCTTGTCCCAAGACTCCACCAGCACCTGGACTCACTCTGGACTTGTCAGACCAGCCCCCTCCCAGGCCCCAGCCACTGGGCTCACAACACCTCTGTTCTTTTGTTCATTCTAGTCATTCTTACACTGCTTCCGCATGTTCTCTTCACGTAAATAGTCCTTTCTATCCTTCAAAACCATGTTCGTTCAACTCAATATAACCCTCTAAAAATTAACCAAGCATCCACTACATAACTTAGATGAAATGAAACAGAAATGGGGAAAGACTCAGCAGCTGAAGAGTCTGAGGACCCTGAAACCTCAGACTTCCGGCTCCCCACAGCCCTCATGGGCCCTGCTAAACCAGCTGACACGTAAACTGTAAACTGTTTCTTTGTACACTTCCTAGACAAAGAAAATTTTCTGCTAAGTAGGTAAAACTAATAAATATGATGTACTTACTGACTCTTGCAAGAACTGTTTTTTCCACAACCTGTTCTACAGCTCAGGTATGAGGCTAGGTGCTTTACATACACATCTCATTTAATCCTTATAATAACCAAGAAGATGGAGATTACCATCTCCAGTTTAAATAAAGAAAGATAAAGTAGTTCTCAGTGTCACCGAAGTAGAGAGTGATAAGCCCAGGATTTTAACCCAGGCCTGTCTTAATTCCAAAATCTGTACCCTGACCCCCCAGGCTCTGCTCTCCTGCCTCCTTGTCAGCTGGTCACAGAAGGCCAGGTGAGGGCTTACCGGCCATGGATCCCGCTAAGCCTGCATAGTACTCCAGGCACTGCCAGGAAGTGTCAATGTCCCAGCGGGCCTCAAAGATGGACTTGCCGTTGTTGATGGTCTCCACAGTGGCGATTTCATCCTTCCGATCCTTTGGGTGAAACAGAAGACCAGATTTAAGACAAATTACCATACACCTCAACACATTCAACAGTCAAACCAGAATACATTGCCCAACTTTTAAAAATAGAAACAGCTTTCACTTTCAATGAAAACAGAAGGAATGTCAATGGGACATTTGGAAGAGAAATAAAACTTATTGCTAAACAGTACCCTGTTCTCCCCATCAAATAACTGTCACAGATACAAGACCAACACCTCATTTCAAGATCAATTAGAAAAGGAATGTTTTGAGAAATAAATATTATATATGTACATCTGTATAAATATGTATAGATACATGTGCATGTGTTTGCATGTATAGAGTAAGAGCAAACAGTCCTTACTTAGGAAAACTGTACAAAACAGCCAAACACACAATCGGCATTTAAAAGGTTATATACCCACGGCTTTAATTCTCCCAAAGAAATGCAGCATGTTAAAATCATAAGATAATCACAAGACAATTATTTTCTAATGCTTAGTACTCATCAATTCTCTTTTCTAATACTGTTTCCAGATGTAGTTTATACAACTTAGAGGTAAGAGAGTCCAGGGATGAAGGAAAAAGTTTGGGAAATTAGACCTAAAAAGAAAAGCTAAATAATGCCCCTAAAGGAGATCAAAAAATTGAATATGTAAGAAATAGATATTTGCTATTATGGATCCAATTTAAAATAAACATTGTGGTCAAAATCTAAACATACATAAAAGATGAATCAAATAATTGACAAGAAGATGCATTATCTTATTAAAACTGATAATCAGTAAGGCTTACCAGAAGCAAAATGAAATAGCAACAGAAATTAACACAAGCATCTAACTAACACAAACTCTATCAAGATTGAGTACAAATCTCAGAAAAGATGGAAGGAGGAATATGAAAATCAGTATGAAATACATAAAAGGACAGTTTGATAATGATATTTGGACATGTTCTGTTTCTACAAAGACCAGAGGTATAAAGTGCTTTGATTCATTCATTCCATATTTGTCGAATTCCAGACATGGCAGAGTAGAAGGACTTGAGCTCACCTCCTCTCATGAAAACACCAAAATCACAACTAACTACTGAATAACCATTGACAAAAAAGACTGGAACCTACCAAAAAAGATATCCTACATCCAAAGACAAAGAAGAAGCCACAATAAGATGGTAGAAGGGGGGCATTCACAATCTAATCAAATCCCACGCCCGCCAGGTGGGAGACCCACAAACTGGAAAATAATTATATGGCAGAGGTTCTCCCAGAGGAGTGAGAGTTCTGAGCCCCATGTCAGGCTCCTCAGCCTGGAGGTCTGGCATCGGGAGGAGGAGCCCCAAAGCACTTGGCTTTGAATACCAGCAGGGCTTGATTGCAGGAACTCCACAGGACTGGGAGAAATAGAAACTCCACTCTTGGAGGGCAGACGCAAGGTCTCATGCGCACCAGGACCCAGGGAAAAAGCCGAGACTTCATAGAAGCCTGGGCCAGACCTACCTGCTGGTCTTGGAGGGTCTCCTGGGGAGGCGGAGGGTGGCTGTGGCTCACTGTGGGGACAAGGACACTAGTGGAAGACGTACTGGGGAGTGCTCATTGGCATGAACTCTCCTGTAGGCCGCCATTTCGACACCAAGACCTGGCCCCACCCAAGAGCCTATAGGCTCCAGTGCTGGGATGCCTCAGGCCAAACAACCAACAGGGTGGGCACACAGCCCCACGCAGCAGCAGACAGGCTACCTAAAGTCTTCCTGAGCCCACAACAACCTCGAAACACACCCCTTGACATGGCCCTGCCCACCAGAGGGACAAAGCCCAGATCCACCCACCAGTGGGCAGGCACCAGTCCCTCCCACCAGGAAGCCTGCACAAGCCTCTAGACCAGCCTCCTACACGAGGGGACAACACCAGAAGCAAGAGTAACTACAACCCTGAAGCCTGCAGAACAGAGACCACAAACACAGAAAGTTAGACAAAATGAGATGGCAGAGAAATACGTTCCAGATGAAGGAACAGGATAAAACCCCAGAACAACAACTAAGTGAAGTGGAGATAGTAACAAATGCGGAATGACTGCTTAAGAAAAAAAGGATAGATCCAGTCTCTGCCTTCAAGGAGCTCACTTCAAGGAGGCTCACTTAGTGGGACTTCCCTGGTGGTCCAGTGGTTAAGATTTTGCCTTCCAATGCAGGGGGTGCAGGTTTGATCCCTGGTCAGGGAGCTAAGATCCCACATGCCTCACAGCCAAAAAACCAAGAAAAAACAAAATAAAAAACAAAAAGCATAAAAAAGGAAGTTAGTAACTTCTAAATAAATTCTGCAATTACTGAATAGACATGTTCCTTCAGAAAGGATAATTTGTTTACATTCAACACAGTCTAAAATAAACTGCCTTTTAAACCAGCAATTTACCTTCTCTTTCTCTGATTCTATACTCACCAAAACGACTTTTTAACAATTAACTTGTTTCCCAGTTACTGAATACTGGAAAGAGGGTACCTAGAAGGACAACAAGCATCAGTTCTGATGTAACAGTTCTTTAACTAGGTGTAAGTTATTCCCCTTCTTGGATCTGTTGAGTATGATCAACATGAAACACATTTTCAAAAGGCACGATCAACCGTAAGTGACTTAAACTACATTTCTAGAATGCAACAGGGCAACTAATCCCTAAAAAGGAAGTAGGTACTGGTTCACTAATCAGCATGAATACACTGATGAATCAAACACATGAAGAAATATTAAACTGGCAAAAGTGAAATGCTGTTGTCTTCCACATTAATACAAGAGTGGACAGACAGGAAGTAATCTGTGACTATTGCTGAAAAGCCTTGGAATATTTACTAAGAAAGGAAGTTTTATTATTATTATTAATTTTTTTTGGTAAACAATGGACAGGCAATTAGCTTTGAGGACTGTTTCAAGGTTTGAACTCAAAGAGAAAATTCAAGTTATTGGCTGGCCTTCTGAGATTTTTCTTGTCTTATTCCAGCATTCTCTACCCTCACAAAAAAGGTTATTTCTAAAAAGCCATTATGAGGGACTTCCCTGGTGGTTCAGTGGTTAAGAATCTGCCTGCCAATGCAGGGGACATGGGTTTGAGCCCTGGTCCAGGAAGATCCTACATGCCGCCGAGCAACTAAGCCCATGAGTGACAACTACCGAGGCCACGTGCCATAGCTACTGAAGCCCGCGCACCTAGAGTCCATGCTCTGCAACAAGAGAAGCCACCTCAATGAGAAGCCCATGCACCGCAACAAAGAGTAGCCCCCGCTTGCCACAACTAGAGAAAGCCCGCGCACACCAATGCAGACTCAACGCAGCCAAAAATTTTAAAAATAAAATAAAAAGCCATTATGAGATCTTTTAACATACCTTCAAGGATCATCAAAAAAAGTCCCTGACGAAAACTATCAAAGAGTCCAAGTGGATCTCTACTGACACTTAATATTGCTTTCAGGGAAATGGTATTCGCTTACCCTCCCAGAATAAGGAGAGCAGAGGGAGAAGGGGAAAACAATATAAGTTTCCTGCCCCTACTAGTACAAGAGCCATCACAAAACAAAACTGTCCACCATGACAATGTACTGCTGTTAAGTATTTCTTGGGAAACATGTACTTCCTATCTACCCCTGTCATCCTCTCCACCACCCTGCTTCACATGTGACCTGACCAGGGGTCCTCTGGGATGAAAGAGAAGAAGCAAAGGGCAGGAGACTCACCTCTCTCCTTCACTTCAAACCCCCCAGCAAGCTCAGTGTTTAGCTTTTATAAGAGAACCACCTGAGCAAAGACATGCCCACTAAACCTTGACAAGCGTGAGCCCCTGCTTGCTTTAAGAGGCAGAGCTGAGCAAAGCAGTCACTGAAGGCAAGTGCATAATCTATATACACAATCTTTTTATATGTAAATGTGTTATCACAGTTTTAAAACACATTTTCTCTCTCCTTTTAAAGCCAAACGATAGCTACTTTCATAAGAACACTCCAACTAAGAAATGATTGGGGCCTACCATTAAGATCTTTATAATCTGATAAAAAGCATCAAAAGATTCAAAGTGAAAAAGGAAACATAAGACCAATAAATATACCAAAAACCATCCACTTTACTAGGAGTCAATGGGCTCCCAGCTAAGGTGGAATTACAGGGACCAGATTTAGCCTCCACCTTAAGCAACTAAAAAGACCAGGTAAAATACATGAAACAACAATTTTCAGACACTGGACAGACAGCTCAGGACAGTGATCCCTGAGACAGGGGAACAAATGAGGTGAGCCCTACACGTATTCTTGCCTACTGCCTGGAAAGAGTTCATCACAGAGCAGGGAGGAGGAACTTAGGTGGGGCCCAACAGATACTCTGAGTTGAGGAAACAGGTTGGGAGTTCAGGGAGTATGTGATGGCTACAGTCTGCAGGCTGAGTATGGGACAGAAGAGAGCTGCATAGGAGAACCCCAGAGATCCCCCTTAAGTCTTCATCTGAGAACTGGTCAGTTGTGAGGACACTACCCAAGGCCAGGAAAAAAACTAACCAAAAAGGTGAAAAAAATCCCCCAAACTCACACAGAGCCAGGAATAGTTCATGGTCCCACCAGCCACAGTGAGAAAAACCTCACTAATACACAGAGCATCAAGCTAGGTATTCAAAAGGGTATTCACTAGTGGGGCAAAATTAGCTTCTCTGGTCATACCTAACAAAGCACAGAAGCAAGCCTTGCAAGGATCAAATTGATTCCAAGTAACTTCACTGTGTCCCAGAACAAAGTTCATTAATATTTTTTAAAGTACAAGAATATTCGACATCCAACAACATATAATTCACAATGTCTACTGGTAATAAATTACCAGACATGCAAAATGTAGGAATGTTATATAACGCCTAACCAGGAGGAAAAAAAACAATCAATAGAAACAGAACCAGAATTGAGAGATGACAGAATTAGTAGACAGGGATATTAAATGTTATTATAACTATATTCCATGTGCTCAAGAAGGCAGAGGAAAACATGAGTATGTTAGGGAGCAACGTGGAGCAACAACAAAAAAGATTCATGTTGAACTTCTAGAGATGAAAAATACACTGGATGGGATTAATAGCAGATTAGACACTATAGAAGAAAAGATAGATGAACTTTAGGCATAACAATGGAAATTACCCAAAATAAAACACACAGAGGAAAAAAACTGTGGAAAAAATGAACAGAGCATCAGTGAACTGTAGAATAGTTTCAAGCAGCCCAACATATATGGCATCAAAAGCCATAATGATGCACCCCAATGTTCATTGCAGCACTATTTACAATAGCCAGGTCATGGAAGCAACCTAAATGCCCATCGACAGATGAATGGATAAAGAAGATGTAGTACATATATACAGTGGAATATTACTCAGCCATAAAAAGGAATGAAATTGGGTCACTGTAGAGATGTGGATGGACGTAGACTGTCATACTGAATGAAGTCAGAAAGAGAAAAATAAATATCATATATTAACACATATATGTGGAATCTAGAAAATTGGTACAGATGAACCAGTCTGCAAGGCAGAAATAGAGACACAGATGTAGAGAACAAACATACGGACACCAAGCGGGCAAGCGGGGGGTGGTGGAATGAACTGGGAGACTGGGATTAACATATATACACTAATATGTATAAAATAGATAACTAATAAGAACCTGCTGCATAAAAAAATAAAATTAAATTTTAAAAAAAGGAAGATATAATGAAATTGCTTAAAACTAGTGATAAGAAGAAAAATCTTAAAAGCAGCCAAAGGGGGAAAAAACATTAAAAACAGAGGAACAAAAATAAGAATGAAAGCAGACATCTCTTCTGAAACAACACAAGCCAGACAACAGCGGTACAACATCTTTAAAGTACTGAAAGAAAAAACTGTCAACCTAGAATTATCTACCTAGAATTCTTTTAAAAAGGAAAGCAAAATAAAGACTTTCAGACATACAAAACCTGAAAGAACATCTCCAGCAAACCTGCACTATAAAAAATGCTAAAGAAATTTCTTCAAGCAGAAAAAAAAATATGGTAACAGATGGAAATTTGGGCCTACCCAAAGGAATGAAAAGCACTAGAAATGCTAAAAATGTAGGAAAATATCAAATATTTTTATCTTATAAAAGATAATTGTGCATAGTTTAAAAATGGAAGGGGCAAAGAACTGCAGATCACGATTAACTAGAAAAATCACTACGAGAAACAACTGAGAGCTATAACTGTAGGCTGTGGTCAGAAGGTGGGATTTGTTTAGTTATGGAATAGTTTTGGGTAAAGGCAAATCCAGAGTATGATCATCAGACAAGAGCTTTAGAGAAATATAGTAATATATTTTTGACTGTAATATGTAAAAATATTACATAAGATATTAAAGAAAATGGAATGGGGAGTTTAAAGGAAAAGAAAATTAATATCAGATAGTCCATTTCAGAGCAAAAAAAAAAATTAGATATTATTCAGGATTTAAAAAGTAATTTTATAAAGGAGCCAGTTCTTAAGAAGATATTACAGCCCAAATGCTTATGCACAAGGAAAACGTGAGAGACAAATCAGAATAATAAATTATCAGCTTTGAGTTACCACTTTTAATCTATCAAATAAAAAATAAATTTTAATAGCAGAAAATACCTTGTTGGGAGAAAATTCTCCAGGAATATTTTGACACTACTGCATGGTCCAGGCTTTCTGAGCAAAGGACACTGGCAAGCTGACTGAAAAACAAAGGCCTTAGAAGGCAGAGACGGGGTCTCCCAAAAGATAGAGGTCACTGGAGCGATGTGGAGATATACAGCTCTCTACTTCCTGTTCCTGGAGACATCTGCTTCTATTCCAGGGTAGTAAACCTAATGACACCTTCCCCCCTTATGAGATCTGCTTAATGAGTAACCTCTCTCCAGAGAAGAGAATGGGCAGATGTGCAGCCCCCATATAAGCTGAGTCTCATAATTTTAGGGTTCCTCTCCTGTGGTGCAACCACTGCATGCAACAGGGTTAACACCTGCCTCTCACTGCATCACCCCATGGGGACTGGGACTCAGAAAACTAGTGCTAAAGTATTGCTCTGGGTACAGCATCTGGGTGCTGTAATAAACCCTTTCCCTAATCCAGAAAGCTTCATGTCTCTTGTCAGAATACACATATAACCTTGCAAGTAGGGTAACTCTTAGACCCTCAGTTTCTGACAATAACACACTGATGAGGAAAAAAGAAAATCATCACAGTCCTACACTGAGAGATAGCCTTGACTTATATTTTGGTGTATATCCTCTGAATTTTCTAATTTTCTGTAATGACAATCTAATACTTTTGCTCTTTAAGACTGTAAAAAGCTAAACTTTATTTCTTAAGAGGGGAACACTGATGCATCTATGAAATCTTCCAGGCAGCTAAGGTAGAAAATAAACCTGAAAACGAAAAGTGAACTTAAGAGTCATCAGAGGAAAAAGTAAAAAGGAAACAAGTATACATAGTAAAATGAAAAGGAGACAAGCTACAAAGGATACATTATCACTCCAACAAAGAAGGAAAAGAAGGGCTTCCCTGGTGGCGCAGTGGTTGAGAGTCCGCCTGCCGATGCAGGGGACACGGGTTCGTGCCCCGGTCCGGGAAGATCCCACATGCCACAGAGCGGCTGGGCCCGTGAGCCATGGCCGCTGAGCCTGCGCGTCCGGAGCCTGTGCTCCGCAACGGGAGAGGCCACAGCAGTGAGAGGCCCGCGTACCACCAAAAAAAAAAAAAAAAAAGACGGAAAAGAAAACCTGCCGAGG